CCCAAAAAAAAAAAGAAAAATAACCCAACGCATTTGTAACTCTAACCTAACCCTAAGGTGTCGTATCCTGGGTCGGGGTGGAGGGAAGGTGGCATTTCAAAGCGTTTTATTCTGAGGTGGGAAGACTTGCAGAAAACGATTGGGGAAAATTTTAAAGGAAAATGATAACAGTCGACATAAAAGAAAAAATAATAATAATAAAACGAAGAGAAATACAGAGAGAAAATAGTTCCTTAAAGAAAACGCTGGCAGGACGAGAGGCACACTTAGGTAAAATGAAACAGTTACCGCAGCTGCATCTCTGTGTGTGTTTGTGTGCTCAGGTTAGCGTTAAGTGGTGGAGATAAGAGAGTGGTAACAGTTGACTTAGAGGCTGGCGGTGCAAGTGAATTGGAAAATAACTTGTAAGGAGATATTTGAAGAACGAGACTTGAGGTGGTAACGTAAGAGGTAAGATTGGGATCACCGCTCCTCTGTGTGTGTGTGTGTCCTCATCATATCACAGTATTTGGGTCATTTAAGGCGATGTGTGAACGATTATGACGAGCTTGTTCAGACGCTTACCCTCTGACCTGACCTAAATACATCGTTGGGTAGACCGTTGTTGCCTCACCCCTACTTCCTCAACCCCCTCGTAGCAACGGATTTAAGTTGGATAAGTTTAGGTTTAGGAGGGAGATAGGAAGGACCTGGTTCACAAATAGGGTGGTGGACGAGTGGAACAAGCTTAGCAACTTTGTAGTAAGTGCTGGAACGCTGGAAAGTTTCAAAAGGAGGCTGGATAGATTCATGGACGATAGAGAGTGGTATGCATTATGCCATGCACAGGCCAACCGGCCTATTGCAGACTCCTTATTTTCTTATGTTGTTATATTCCTCACCACCTGGTAATGCGTCTCGTTATACGAACAGGAATACCGAGATTACTGTAGTTAGATTCAGGTCAGGTTCAGGTCACTCTTACAGGCTTAATCCCCTCCCACAGTATTGCTCAAGTCCTACAGCTGTCACCAGGTACCTCTGTACAATGTTATCAGCAGCATCTGGCAGGAGTCTCAGGTACTAACATAAAGGGACTTAATATAGCCTAAGGAAGGAAGAACATCCCATTAAGTTAGAATTAATGTTGTCTATGAGGTGTCTGGCCAGCATGCAGGTGATAAGTATCGTGCTCCTGTGAAGAGGTCGGGGAATGGTGGTCCAGTAGGGGTCACGGAAGTGTTGTGTGTGTGTGGGACAGCTCAGGATGTCTGCTCTCTTGCCTAACACACGCAACGTTGTTGGGAGGGGATACCGATCTCCCAAGGAAAAATTGTACCTGATGAAGAGTGGAGAAGCAATCGCCTCTCTCTTCTGCGACCCTTGTCCCATACACACACGAGAGGTGAGGAAGTTATGGCGGGCATCTAACCCTTTATCAAGTCAGTTTACTAGAAGTTACGTGTTTATATCGAGTCACTGTTTACTGTCTACCTGTACTGTACCGCTCATATAAGTACTGTTATACACCTTTATTGCTTATGTACAGACTAAATCAATGTAAACTCGTATGATGCTTTTACTGAATAAATATCTATATATCTGTTCAAACTATATCTAGATATCAAAGAATTTTAAACTTGGATACGAAGGTGTGTGTGTGTGTGTGTGTGTGTGTGTGTGTGTGTGCGCGCTAAAGACGTTGCGGGATCCAGGGAAGGTCACCTGAGTATCCTAAGGTTAATCTCTCCCTTAAGTGACAGTAATAATCTCTTATCTCAAAAATGCAGCTTTCTCGAGTGATGTGAGTCCGGGTGTACTGTGGGTGTAGTGAGGGAAGGGTGGGTGGAGACATAACTGGGTGGGTAGGGTGGGTGGCAGAAACTTAAGGATAGATACAAACATAGGTTGGATGGATAGATGAGCAATAGGGGTTGGGTGTAAACGGGACTGTCCAGTATCCTCCGTTCTTATGTTAACACCTTGGACATGAAAGATTAAATATGGCGAGGACAACGGATTAGGGGGGCTTGAGATAACGGATTAGGGGGCTTGAGATAACGGATTAGGGGGGCTTGAGATAACGGATTAGGGGGGCTTGGGATAACGGATTAGGGGGGCCTGGGATATAAAAAGTTGGAGTGTCGGGGAGTGGGGCGGGGTGTTGGAGAGGGAGAGGACGCTGTAAGGAGTGGGAGGGAGAGGGAAGAAGGAGGAGAGAGGGAGAGACACATACCACTCAAATACCCAACTATATCCGCATACATCCCACCCTCTTTTCTCCCCCCTCCCTCTACACTCAATTAGCTTCAAGATCGTTTACAGTAGATCTCATTTCACCTCGAGGCCAAGGGCGTAACACTCAAAGAAGCTTATGTTCTCCTACGGCATTTCACAGATCTGGTTAGAACGAGTGGTGGCGCCTTTAAAACTGGTTCACGTAACACGACTCAGGACGTTTTGGGTTTTTTTTTCTTTCGTTTTGTCGCTAGAGTATTTTGGTTTAGGTTTGAGAATGTGAGTGAATGAGTGAGGAAGTGAGTGAGTGATTGGGTAATTTAGCGAGTGAATGAATAATTGATGAACCGAGTGTGATTGAGTAATTAAGTGAATAAATGAGTAGGTGAGTAATTGAATGAGTGATAGAGTCATTAAGAGGAAGTAATTGATGGAGTGAATGAGTAGCGCCGTTCATCATAATAATCATTTGGTGGTTGTAGTTGTAAATGGTTTTAGTGTGTGTGTGTATGTGTGAGATGTGTGTGTATGTGTGAGATGTGTGTGTATGTGTGAGATGTGTGTGTATGTGTGAGATGTGTGTGTATGTGTGAGATGTGTGTGTATGTGTGAGATGTGTGTGTATGTGTGAGATGTGTGTGTGTGTATGTGTGAGGTGTGTGTGTGTGTGTGTGTGTGTGTGTATGTGTGTGTGTGTGTGTGTGTGTATGTGTGCATGTTGGCAGTGGTGCATGTGTAAGATTACGATCGCCTGTTTTATGCTATTTATCGTATCATAACCTCCACTTAACTTAAGATGGTTAAAAATTTGCATAAAACAGACAATCATACAAGTAAAATAACACCATTATGTAAGTGTATTTCTTTCTCTCTCTATCTCATCCTTCTCTCCACTAGACCAAGAGACCCCAGTACTATCTCCACACACACACACACACACACCGAGAATATCTCCAAGTGGCACCAGGGGTAGGAATATCTCTCTCTCTCTTCCCTCACCCTTCACCCTACCTACCCCTCACTCCTCACCCTACAGCATGTGCGATTTTGTAAAATTTGGTATTTGTTATGAATAGTTTTGGTCTATGTACTGTATGTGTCATTCTGCACCTGTTCACCCCCCACCCCCTCCGCCACACACATCTGCCTCACCGTGAAGTAATTAACACCTTTACCTGTACCAGAGTAACACCTGTCTTCACCCCCCCTTCCCCACGAACAAACTAATCAAAAAAGCAACACCTGGGCCTTACCTGTATAGTGAGTTATTTATACCAAAAGTTTTCATCTGGGAACAACAACAACAACGCAAACAGCAATAGCAACTTGTCCGTCACCAAATTAAATCATGTAATTAAGACCTTAGCCCTTACCTGTGCCAGAGTAGCGAGGGTGATGCCGAAGCACAAGGAGATCTGGACGACGGAGGGAGCGTATCCTTCAGTCCACCCGTTGAGGCAGGAGCTGGTACCGACGAAGACCAACACCATAGTCCCCAAGAACTCCGCCGCCACCGCCTTCCACAGGTCCAGTTCCCGCAGCTCGGCCTTGCCCACGTAATCGCGCATGTCCTTGATCTTTCCCATCTTTTCGAGGTGGTTTGCGTCTTCCTGTACCTAAGTTAAAAGACGGAGGTGCTTAGTTTTAAATCTACCCTGTGCTGGACGGGGTTTTTTTTAGCCTCTGCCTCAGCCTGTTCCTTGGTACACATTTAGCTAAATATATACAAACTTCCTTAATTATCCTACAAAACTTATGAAAATATTGAATTTGTGGTAAAAAAATAAATAATAAACGCGAAACTATACCTTTTCCACTCTACCTTAGCCCATAAGCCACGCCCCTTGTCTCTAGCTACAGTAACTGATTGGTTCCCCTGAGCGTCTTACCTCCCCTCGGGCTGCGCGTGTACGAGTGCGTATTTATATTAACCTTTTATGATAAATATTAAAACAATTCTAACATCCTCTTAGAAATGCTAATGCCTTGAAATCATTTGCATTTTGATTGTTCAGATAATTATTTAACGTTATTTTAGATAATAACAAGTTTGCTTACCTACTGTACAGGTGCGCGAGACCTGCACTAGATACGTGTTTGTATTAGGTACAGTCGGGATCAAAAGTCTTCAACACTTAGCAATATCTGGCATCTACTTGTGAGTTATATGATTGGGATATACTAATAACACTACTTGTCATCATATATTATGCCTGAACCACAAAATAAAACTCTCCTTAATACCTAAGTCTCTGAAGTGGTCGTAGGTGAGTGTTGCTAGGTGGTGGTGGTAGGTGAGGAAGGAAGGTCTTGTCAGCAGCTCCTCTAGCACGTCCTTACACTGGAACAGTAGGGACACTAATCGTAACCTGCCAAGTCCCCGCGCTTTATATCGCCTTGCGAGCGTTGCGTCACAAGCCTAGCAGCCCGCTCGGCCCAACGCCCCGCCCGCCCGCCGCAACACCACGCCCCGAGGTCAACAAGCATCTCTTCACACACACACACACACACACATATTTCTCTTATCCGCCTCTCATAACGCACTTAATTTCACATTATTTCGCTCAAACACTCCAACATTTGAGACATTTTAATGATACGTGAACGCAAGACACTCGTAAAAAAATGACGTGTACTTTATGGGAAAATTATTATACTATCCATCCTCTTCCGCGACCTAAACCTGTTGACGTCACAGGCCGTAAGCCAATGACCATGCAACAATGTTATGACGCGGTAGTAGAAATAACCAATCACCAGAGGCGGAGATGGGTCCTTGAAACAAAGATGTCTGAACGCTCTAGTTAATGGGGTCAGGTGTATGTTGATATATAATCAGAGCATCCTCGATACCGACTTACCTCATTAATATGCAAAAAAAGGGGGACTATTTAGTACCTCTTGTTGATAAGTTCATAAATAAAAGAGGAATAAATAGACTAATAGACTACAGACCGCTGTATATTTCACCTAAAGATTAACCACCCTAAAGCCAACCTAACCTAACCACCCTAATGCCAACCTAACCTAACCACCCTAAAGCCAACCTAACCTAACCACCCTAACCTAACCAAATGCTAACCCAACCCAACTCCGCCAGGTAACGTTAAGGTGCTTACATCATCCTCTGGGGGACCTAATCTTCAGGTGATGCTAAATATATATATATATATAAAGACACTCGTTTGTTAATAGGAATAATAATAAATATAGGTGACGGTGTTGTAATACCGACCTCCAGTGTCAGCTTATTCACCTCAGCAAGTGTGAAAAACGTACACATATATACATAAATACATACTGTACATAAATATACATACATACATATAATACATAAACACACACACACACACACACACACACACACACACACACACACACACGCACACACATACACGCACACACACACACACTACCTCCTTGTTTATAAGTAGTGGGGTAGAGTCATGGAGTAACTCGACCTGTCCTCATTACTCTCTCAAACCCACTTAACACTTATACAAATTTAATAAGTATAAAAACCCGATGACATGCAAGGAACACAACCGAGCCTTATGTGCCGTGTCGTCCCCTCGGTAGGTGGGTGTGTGTGCGTAAGGGCGTAATGTACTGTGATGTATGTGTGTGCGTAATGTACTGTGATGTATGTGTGTGCGTAATGTACTGTGATGTATGTATGTGCGTAATGTACTGTGATGTATGTGTGTGCGTAATGTACTGTGATGTATGTGTGTGCGTAATGTACTGTGATGTATGTGTGTGCGTAATGTATACGCTAAATCTCTTATATTGTATTTCATGTGGAATCACAATGGAAACGTGGACAGAATAAATCTCGATAAAATCACGCAGGAAAAGGGAAACAACAGAGCACCTTAGCTTTCGTCTTTATTCAAGACATCTGAATTTACAGGGACTGAGAGAGGCTTGTATATATAGGGTGACCTTGCAAAACATCAGGTCAGGTCAATAACATGAGATCCACTCACTATTCCACGTACCACCACCGCCAACATAAGAGCTTATAAAAACGGGCGACGTAACTAGTCAGGTCAAGTTAGGTAAAAAATATGAGACCCACTAATCATTTATCATACAGCTACCTTACATGGTTTCAAAGCATTTTTAACCTTGGGCCACTGACATAAATTTATGTAACATCAGTTTTGTGCTGACCATCACTAAGGTTTATCGAATTCATTTCCTTTATCAAACTTGCTTCAACCAGAAGTTTTTCTGTGACACATGTTGATTTAAACACTTTTAAACTGTTTCCTCAATCTATGGTATGATTATTGTTCCTTATATGAAAGAAAAGTGCACTGCTTTCAGATGCTGTTCTGTACGGTTTTATTCTAAGTTGGAATGCTTTCCCAGTCTGACCTTCATAGTTGCCATTGCAATTGCTACATGTACACTCTGCACTTACACTTTACACTTACACTGCACTCATACTTCACTCTTGCACTCTACACTTATACTATACATACACTTACACCTGTGGTGTAATGGTCAGCGGATCCGGGTTCCATCCCCGGGCAGGGCAAGTTTCTTCCCGAGATAGGTGAACACTGGTTTGGAAATAAAGTAGTGGATGAGTGGAACAAGTTACCAACCATCATCATTAACTCTATGTATTAATGATGTATAAGTATTTTTGTCCTAGTCCAATAATAAAAAAAAAAGATAATCTTACATCAGTGAAAATTACAAAAAACAAAAATAGAAAAAAAATCATCAAATTTATATCGAAATCAAATGTCTATTGATATTTTGTTTTGAACTTAGATCAATCAGTTTAAATTACTATTATTAAGTCTTCAGTTACGAACCTTTGTTACTCTGATCGTTGGGTGGTGGAACTAGCGTTGTGTTTACCTGTGTGTTAATTAGGTAGAAATGTCACACCTGTAGTTATGATATAGGTCAATGTGAGTTGATCGGGTTATTGTTATTACCTTTATTATTATTGTATTTTTTTTAGTATTGTGGGTCGTGTGGTTATCGTTATCAGTGGTGTGTGTGTGTGTGTGTGTGTGTGTGTGTGTGTGTGTGTGTCTGTCCGGAGAGGTAGGTGTTAATGCTGTACATTAGTAGTGTTATCATTCTAACCCTAACCTAAGCCTTACGTAACCTAGCAATATAACCTACCTTAACAACCTAACCTAACTCCCTAGTCCTACCACCAACCTAGCCCACCCCAAACACCTAGCCCCCAAACACCTAACCCACCCCCAAACACCTAGCCCACCCCCAAACACCTAGCCACCCCCAAACACCTAACCCCACCCCCAAACACTAGCCCCACCCCCCCAAACACCTAGCCACCCCCCAAACACTAACCCACCCCCAAACACCCTAACCCACCTACCCCTCCACACACCCTCCACCCCACACACCCTCAACCACACACCCTCCCCCCACACCCTCCAGCCCACACCCCTCCCCACACCCTCCAGCCCACACCCTACTGGCTACCACACACACACATATACTTAAGGACAGAGTACCAAATACCCCCTCCTCTTTTAAGTTATCAAGGTCTCAAGAGCAATTTAGGCCATCTTTGTTTTTGTCGTGTTGGTGTTTGTGAGTCGACCATAAGCTTTTCTCAGTAAGCAAATAAATAAACCTAAGATTTTATTATTATTATTATTATTTTAATATCTTTATAGCGTATCTTAAATTGGGCTGATTAATTGTGTTCTCACGTTCTAACACTGGATTATGATGCTAACTTACGTGAATTGTAGAGGGTCCTATCCTTTGCTAGTTAAGATGGAAGAGATCTCTCAAGTTCGTAGTTAAGACAGAATTGCAGCTCTTAATTTACGGAAATCTGAGAGTCCTGTTTGGTCGCCACTGTTGTTCTTCTGTATTGTGTGTGTCGTGTGTGTGTGTGTGTGTGTGTGTGTGTGTGTGTGTGTGTGTGTGTATTTAATCCTAATGCAGACGTCATCATCCTAATGCAGACGTCATCATCCTAATGTTGACGTCATCACTTTTCAATTATATTTTGATAAATGTTTGCAGTACTCATCCGGGGATATTGCAGTTCCATTGATCGTTAACGTGTACTGTATAATGTGTACATAAGTGTAATGAGTTAATACGTATTCTGTGTACGTGTGTAGCTGTGTGTTATATAAATATATACACATGACTTCTCCATGTGTGTACTGTTATTTGCAATTCATTTATTTTTTCTTTCCTTATTATAAATATTCCTTCCTGCTTTCTCATTGTCCCGGAAGAGGTAGGAAGGTGTGTACTTGCGTGTGCCCGTGCGTCTTTGCGTCTGCCCGTGCGTCTTTGCATGTGTCCCGTGAGTCGTGTGCGTCATAATAGTAAAAACAACAATGTATTTCAACTTGTTGTGTGGAGATAAGACAACAAACTCTGACGTCTAAATAATAATTAACATTTTCCGTCACCACTGTCCGGCTATGTTAATATAAAGCTATGTTAGGGGATGTTATTATTTAGCTGTGTTAGGTGACGTTAATATAAAGCTATGTTAGGGGATGTTAATATTTAGCTGTGTTAGGGGACGTTAATATAAAGCTATGTTAGGGGATGTTAATATTTAGCTGTGTTAGGGATGTTAATATTGAGCTGTGTTAGGGATGTTAATGTATGTTAAATTGGGGCTATGTAAGGTGATGTTAGCTGTGTTATTTGATGTTAATGTATGTTAAAATGAGAGCTGTGTTAGGAAGCTGTGTTAAGGGGTTCTGTGTTAAGATAAAAGTTCCAAACTGAAATATTTGTTTCCCGGAACGAATAGGGAAGAAGGAGAAGAAGAGGAGGAGAAAGAAAATGGAAGTAAAGAAGAAAAAGAAGAGGAAGAATTAAAGTTAAAAGGGAAGAGGAGGAGGAGGAAGAGAGGTAAGGAAGAGGGTTGAAGAGATATCTCATTCCCCATCACTCAATAAACGCTCAAGAGAAGGACAGAGTGACATCGAGACCTGAATGAGTGAGAGGGGAGGAGGAAGTGAGAAGAGGAGAGGGAGAGGATGTGAGTGGGGGAGAGGGAGAGGATGTGAGGGGGAGAGGAGAGGATGTGGGGGGAGGAGAGGATGTGAGGGGGAGGGAGAGAGGATGTGAGGTGAGGGTGAGAGGGAGAGGATGTGGGGGAAGTGAGGGGGTGAGAGAGAGAGAGAGAGAGAGAGTGTCCCCACCCCAGTCAGACAAGCAGACAGACACAACATGACCTCGCAACATTATGTATGCCTGAAGTAACTAACTGGACGCGGTAGGAATGAGGGTATGGATAACGAAGGCCTTGTTAGACAGTTCTAATACAAGTGTCCCTTCTCTCTCTGTGTGTGTGTGTGTGGGGTTTGATCACTGTCGCCTCATACACTCTATACACGTTTTTTATACATTCATACACCT